GAAATTCCATCCAATCATCTCCTCTCATGATCGGCAGTATCATTGACGCAAGAATTTGGTCGCTGGGACTATCGGAACTGCTGACATGCAGTCAGCAAGACGTTACCGAAAGACGTCGGGGTGAACCACGATTAATCTATGAAGCTGATGTGAGATTATGGCTTGTGAACAAAGTGGACATTTGGCATACAGCTGCAACGTTTCTTCCAAATCGGTTGCGATTGGTGTGACGGCAAATGGCTGGACGGAGATTATGCGGTCAGCACATGGCGCCATCTTTAGAACCCTGGCATAGTTCGGTACGCAACGATATGTACTCAGCTGAACTTGGCTGTGGTTTTCGATTACTTTGCATATGTCTGTGACCCAGCGTCATGTAGTAGCTTTGCGCAAGGCTCTGACCCTGCGTTCGTGTAGCGTTTGATGCTGACTTCCCCGTAGTACTTCCACAATGTTTGACTCGTAGGTATACTCTCTGGGTGATGAATTATAGTTGTGGGTATCAAATTCATGTCAGTAGTTGGTGGTATACGTAACGCATTCATTGGGCGCAATTCTCTTTGGAATCTAATATCCTCAAAGACGGCTTGAGATAAGAAGCATCTTCCGAATCCGTGGCAAAGTTGTTGAACTCCTCCAGAATCCTTACATAATCATACAGCATCATGGCAATCGACATCCAGGAAGTTGAGTTCAAGACCATTGATGGTCTCACTTTGCGTGGTGACCTGTACAATGCTGCAGTGTCGTCTGGAAAGGGGCCTGCGGTCATTATTACGCCAGGTGTATGATCTTCTCGACGGTTCAAAGACGTTATCAGACCGAAAGCTGACGATGATAGTTCAATTGCGTCAAAGAGATGTTTGTACCAGATGTCGCCGAACAGTTCCAGAAGAACGGAATCACAGCACTGATCTATGACCCGCGAACGCTCGGCCTGAGCGATGGGTTGCCGCGCAACGACATCGATCCAGCGAGACAAGTATCCGACTACTCTGATGCAGTCACTTTCGTCAAGAGTCTTCCAAACGTCGATTCTTCAATGATTGGTATCTGGGGCATGTCGTTCAGCGGTGTCATTGCACTATCCTCCACAGCTCTGGACCCTCGCATTCGCTTCTGCATCGCCATCTGCCCGCTTTTGAACCTCGAATACGAAGCATCGAAGTTCCCCAAAGTGCTTGCCAAACTCCAACAAGACCGGGAGTCGCAGCTCGGTGGGAACAAGCCTTTATACGTCCCAGTGTTGACGGCTGAGGGTAAGAACCCCGCTGGGATGGGGTTAGGGGCAGACAAAGAGGAGTTTGACTAGTAAGTCAAGCAATGCTAATGAGTGACGATGCATAACTGACCGATGTTTGTAGTATGGTCAACGCCAAAACGCGTGGCGCCCCGCGACACGAAAACCACACGACGTTCCAATCGTACTACAAGATAAAGCTATGGCAACCACAAGGTATCATGAGATACCTGGACCGTACACCTGTGTTGATGGTAGTGCCGGAGCTGGACCAGATCTCGCCCCCCGAGGCGCAGATTGCGCTTCATGCGACGTTCCCGGAGCCGAAGGTGTTGCATATCGCTCCTGGCAAGGGGCATTTGGATGTGTTGAGTGGAGAAGACTTTCCCATGCTGTCAAATCTACAGGCGGATTTCGTCAAGAAGATTGTCGCAGCTTAATTGTGACAAATCGATGCGCATTCGCCTGCCCTTGGATGGGCATAGATAGTTTGACTTTCGTATCAACAACATATAAAACTTCCATTACGCTAATCTCTTGTCAATCTCTACTATGACTAGTCACTGAGATCGAGTTCGTAACTAGTACCTACGCGAGCCGGAACAACCTACGATTATGTACGTGAATTCCTGGCACGGTTGACATACACCTACGCCGCCTAGGATGGCTCAGAAATATCACTGAGAGCTGAAAAGAGAGCTTTAATCACCATGTGTAAATCTAGTGTTATCAACGATGCAAGAGATTGTAGATATGACATGGTGTTGGGGCGGTTTGGACAGTCAAGAGCGTGATCGTGGGACTTCTTCGCGTGATCTGGCAGCCTGGAAATTATGAAAACCTCTTCGATCATGCACTTAGTAGCTGAAACGAGTAGCTATAATGAACATTGTCAAACGTACCGAATGAATTCAATAAACCACTCTAATACGACCGCTCTAATGTAACCCTTCTAGTATCTAACACAACCGTTCTAGTACAACCACTCAAGTCAAAGATTGCCTACTGCAGTACAGTGCAAACCAAAGATATAACGATGACTAAACGACGTACTCATTCATCCTTAACGGGCAACGCAGAGTCGACCATCAGCAGCCACCTCCAACGCATCAGAACCGACAGCAGTGACAGCCCAAAAGACATTCTCCGGATCCAACCGATGCTTAATATCCAACAACCTCGGATAGTTAGTGCCATAAAACTGTGTCTTCCAGTCAATCAGCGGCGAAAAGTTTGCTTCATTCAAATGAGTCCCCGTATCCTCCGGCACGAGATCATCAATGCGCTTTTGCGCAAAGCCGACAAGCTGGTCTTGCAGATGCTGCTTCTCGTTCCAGGAAATCGACGAGTTGAAGTAGCTCTGGATGAGCAATGTATTGACTGTTGTGCGCCAGCTGGGCATCACGGAATTGGGTGCAACGGGCTTACGAAGCGGCGTGATGGAAACGTCTTGGGCGGTGGAGCCGATGATGATCTGTGTGGTATCGGTGATTTCGCGATACGCAGCGATGATCGCGGCTGGGTCGGCTTGACTAACTTCAAGGGGAATAAGACGGCCTGTCATGAGCTCACCGATGACGTAAGGGCCCCATGGTGCGGGGCCGAAGTATGTTACGAAATGGTCCAGGTAAGTAGGCGTGGAAGTGATGGTGAGATTGTAGTCGATATGGAGAGAGTCAAGCTTCGTGGTGAATTCTGACAGCAAGTCACGCATCTGGTCTTTGGTGTAGTCGGGCCGTGTGACGGCTTGCAGATAGAATTGCAGCGGTAGGGTAGCGAAGGATGATTGCGCTCCACCAGCATTGAGTCCGGGGAGTGCTTCTTGGAAGTAGGTGAATGCTTCCCAGAAGGTGTCGTTGCTCATCTGACTGCGATCAAAAATGATTGATGCGCCGCCGACGGGTCCGTCAGGGAATGCACGTAGTGTGACCGCGGTGACGACGCCAAAGGTAGATGGACCAGCTCCAGCAAGTGCCCAGTAAAGGTCCTCGTTGTGTTCAGGTGTAGCTTTCACGAACGTACCATTCGCGAGGACTACCTCCCATTCAAGCACATTGTCAGAAGCCATTCCGTAAACGCCAGAGAGAGGCGAGTGGCCACCACCCTGGAGAAAGCCTCCTGCAATGCCAACAGTGGCACAGTCGCCACCGACGACCCGGAGGCCAGCATCGTGAGCACCCTTGTATGCCTCATAGCCTCTGACGCCCGCACCGAGCTTCATAGCTGGACCCTTGTGCCAGGGTTGGCTGTAGTTGTGGATTGGTTGAATGGAGTTGAGATTGTGAGTCCAGATACCCAGAGATCCCTGACCAACCGACTTTCCGTTGAAGTCGTGGCCAGTGTTCTTGATACTGACTCTGATCTTATGCTCATGTGCAAAAGCAAGTCCGGCCGAAACATCAGCGGGCTGGCTAACGTTGACTGCATAAACAGCCAGATGGCCCAGCTCGCATGGCGTAGAGCGATCAGTCCAGGGGTCGCAGGTTGAATTCTGGAACCAATAGCTCATTGGTGTGGTGGGATCGTCTTCGTAGGTGACTGGTAGCTGCCAATTCTCGCGCAGATAGTTGCACTTCTCCTCGTCGTAGGTTGGGTCGTGGCAAGCTGCACCTAGTGGTACGGATGCAATGAGTCTGCCCTCAATCGTCGCGTTGAGTTTGTCCCATTGCGATTTGGCTGGCCAAGCAGCATCCCCTGGTAGGACACGGCAGTCGGTATTGTTGGCGTATTGGTCGGCGGAAATGGTGGCAGCCGAAAGCAGCGTTGTAGCAAGTGCTACCAATGCTCGTTGGGGCATCATGACTTTCTTAGGGGATTGGGTTGAATGAGAAGCTATTCAGAGAGAATGATTTAAAATAAGGTCGTTCTTCAATCTTCCAGCGAAGGAAGCCGAGTTGAAGAGACTGTTTGACGCAGTTGATCTGACAGATGATGGGAGCCTCTTTCGACATTTATATTCGTATGATAATATCTCTAGCCTCTCTTAAGACTCGCCTCGGCAGTTGTTTGAACGTGAAAGTTGCCTCTTCGGAAACCGCTCAGTCGTGGCTTGAAGACCTGCGCCACCAACTGCAGACCTTGCTAAACGCCCGACCCACAGATAGCTCTGGCCTCGTAAGCTGATTGTATGCCGCGGCGAGGGCAACACTGAGTATCTGGATCATGGCTTCGGTGACTCAAATGGTGGCTGTCAAATGCTTACCGGTATCGCGGCTGAGGCTCGCTGACACAACAGCTGGGCCGTTGGAACCGGGGCTCATTCCATGCACGTTCTTCCCGTGCTGATAGTTCATCGGGCCAATCTAACTACAACAGAGACGAGCTGGTACATCTCGTATCCACAGTAGTCCTGGGAGCCAAACCTGAAGCGACGCCCGGCTGAGTTCAGGATGGGCCAGTATGCTCACTTGGAGAGGGTCTGATGCATGGCTAATCGGTTGACCATGGCGTTTGAGCAGGCTCTCAAAGAAACGGTATGTTTCCAGTGCTTTCGGTCTTATAGCGGGTCAAAGCTGTCTCGTGTAATGCTGTCGTTATGTGAGTGGGGGTACAGTCAAGCCCCACACACATAGCCTTCAGTGTAACACAAGGGCGGCCCAAAATAAGCAATCATGCGAAACGTGGACAAAGAGAGCTCATTCCAAAGGACGCATTTCCGATATTTTGATGTAAGGAGTAATTGCACTCTGCTGCAATGCTCTAAAAGTATTACAAGAGGTCTTATGAAAACAAAATCTCAGGTAAAGTACACAGGCCAATATCATGCAACAGCCGCAGGCTTTGCGCCTTTCACACTCTTCCATTCTCCCGCAAAAGCCAGGAGAAAGGTGATCGCAGCCAGAACAGTCGCAAAAAGCCAAGAATCTTTGAGACCAACCATGTAGGACTTGAGCACTGCGACGAGATCGCCCCCCTGGAAAACATCACGTATTTCCGTCGCACCCACAGCGAAGACCTGCTCAGGTGTGATGTTTGGCGCGAGGTCTGCCAGTGCTGAGATCAGCCGGTTGTTGAGAAGTGTCTGAGAGGCCGATACACATATCGCTCCCGCCACTAGCTGGAAGAACATGACTATCGACGTGACTACTGGGATATCCTCAGGGGCCGAGAAAGCCTGTGCAACAATGACGGGAGCCTGGATGGCTAATCCGATACCCATACCAACCAGAATCTGAAACCCCACTACTTCCGCGACTGTGGAGTCAAGGTCGAGCGTGTATACGAGGCCCGCCCCGACTGTGAGTAGAGCAGAACCACTGATGAGGAAGATGTGGTAGTAGCCGACCCGGCCGAGGATGAAGCCACTTGCAAGGACGAAAGCTGAAGTTGAAAGAATGAGTGCGAGGTTTCTGATACCACTTTCTGTGGCGGAGAGGTCGTTGATAACCTGGAAGTATTGTGGGAGATTGTATACCAGGAGGAAGTTGGTTGAGTTCAGACTGCGAGTAGTTCGTTAGCGATCAAAACAACATCTTGGCGGTGGGATACGAACAAGAAGATGAATGCTGACAGTGCTGCCACTGTTCGCTGCGTCATAATCCGCGTAACGAGGGAGGCGTTCTCGCCCGCTTGCCACTGCAAGGCGGCAAAGAGGACAGTCATGATAACGCTGCCTACGAGGGTACCTATAACGTCTGGAGAAGACCAAGGCTTCAGGGTACCACCCCACTGCATAGCGAGCGTGAAGCTGACAAGCGCACCCATGCCGAGGACAATACCGGGAATATCCATGACCAAGATGAGTTCTTTTCGGCCGATAGGGACTGGTTTGACTGTGGCAGGCAAGTGGAAGTAGATGAATATGATCAACAGGGCGAAGCCGCCTATTGGCAGATTGATGTAGAATCTAGAATGTAGATATTAGCGAGAGACAGAAAAACAGCATGAGGTACCGCACTCACACCCATCTCCAGCTCACCTCGCCAGTGAGCGCACCGCCAAGCGGGGGGCCAGCAACGCTGGCGACACTAAACACGGCGCCGATGAGGCCAATGTATGTTGGAACTTGCGCAGGCTGCACAATGTAGGCCATGGCGGTATACACGCCACCAGTAACGCCGGCTCCACCAAGTCCAGCGATGGCTCGGCCGACGATGAACGTAAGACTGTTTTGCGAAACGCCTAGGGTCCGATTAGTCGATGCATCCACCAAAATTGGGCAAAGTGAACGTACCGCAGATCAAGCTGCCAACCTCGAACAGGACGACTGCTACCACGAAGGTAATCTTAATATTGAAGTGCTTGTATGCTTTACCCCATGCTGATTGGAATATGGCCAATGTGATGAAGAACGCAGCAGCGTACCAGCCGACATCTGGGGCCGACTATGGAGGGTATCAGTTTGGGGCACATCAATGCTGCCAGTACTTGAAGACTAACATGGAAATCATCCGTGATACTTGGGATTGCAGTTGCGATGATTGTCATATCAAGGGCGATCTAGGGTATAATTGGTTAGCTTGCATGTGGTGTCACGGAAGTCCAGTCCACTCACCAAGAACATGCTCAACAGCAAGGCGAAGACGACCAGAAAAAACGGCAGCCCGCTTTGATAGCCGGGTTCAGGCTTTGCTTGATCATTCTCGGTAGAGCCATGTTGAGTGAGACTGGAGGTGGTTTCTGGTTTGTCGTGCACATCCGCTACCAGAGGTCGTTCAGTAGAAGCCATCTCGGAATGAAAGTCGGATGTCGGGAGAAGTGTAGAATGGGATAGGCAAAGTTTGGTATTACGTGGGTGCGAAAGCGAGTGCTGCAATACAGGCAAGTGAATGAGCTGGGAGGCGTCGGTGAGGGCCCGTCGCCGTCTGTCGCCAGCGCTCCATCACATCTGAGGCGACTGAGCACAAACGTGCAACATTTGTCAGCCATGTCGCGTTGGGTAATCGCGAGTTCCGCAGTCATGTCTGTTTCTTTGTTTTGTCAGTCCTGCTTACCTTGCCTCGTGTGGCGTTATTACCGTGCATGTCAGAATCTCCCCGGGACGGGATTTACCAAGATCCACCCTAGCGTGCAGGACGTCCCGGCGCGTGTCACGGGCCGCTGCACGAAGGAGCTCGTTCTTATTAACGCCCATGCCCCAGACCATGGCCAATGAAAGTGAGCTCCTTCGTAATCATCATGCAAGGTAAGCCATTGATAGACCCACTTCTTTTTCATTAGATATATTCTGATCATTCTATCTCACGTGACCTTCTACAGCAGTCCTCCGAACACCGTCTCAACAACATCACAAATCTCTTCCGTGTAAGCCCTAGGTACCTCATGCCCACCGTGGTGCTGCAATACCACCCTGCAATCCTCCTGACACAGCCCAACCAAATCCTTACTGTGGCACAACCATTTATCCTGCATACCCATGACATGTCCCGTCGGCAACGTGATGCGCACCTCGTCAGCCATGGGGTGAAACATCTGATATTGCACGTTATCGCACGAAACTCGCTCCAGCTGCGCGGGATTGCGCAAATACGCAGGGTCCGTCAGCAAGTGGGGTGGTATGCGGCTCGGGCGAGCGTGCGCATTTGGAAGCGTGTTGGGAACGCCAAAGTAAGAGCGCGCATCAATGCCCACTTGCGTAGTTCTGGCAAATGGTATGGGCGAGCCGATGAATATTGCGGCTTTGAAGGACAGTGGCTTCGATTCTAGCTCCTCGTGCAACAGTAGAGAGGCTGCTACAGCAGCGCCCTGGCTGAAGCCCATGACTGCATCAAAGGGGCCGTGGCTCTCGATGATCTGCCGGATTTGCTCATGCGCGTCCTTGACTTTCTCCACGGTCGGGGTGTTGTACCAAGTAAGATACGGGGGCTGGTAGTAATCGCGCACTTCCTCCGCCGGTTCGCATTCGTATTTGCCGTCGAAGAAACGGAAATCGTAATCTGCAGGCAGCATCTCGCGTAGGCTCTCTATTGGTTGGTCAAATCTTTATATACTACGCTGGCTGATCTTGGTATTACTTACGTGTCTGTTTCTGGAAGACGGCTGAGTTCACTCCTTGCCCGTGAAGACAGAGTACACGCACTGGCATGATTGGCTATAGGGCTGGCAGTGCTATTGGAGATCCAGCAGTGACACCTCCGTCAAGGGAAAGAACGAATACCCAGGAGCCTACGTTGATCTTGGGTCACCTAATTTGCGCGTTTTTATCTTGATGTAGCCTCCAGGTGTTCGGTTTATCCTTGCATGAGGTGGTGGGTCCATCCGCTGCATATGCCTTTTTTATTCCTTTTTGGCCTCGAAACGCACTAGCAGTTCGCTCCTTCCTATGGCGTGATGCACCATGTAAGGCTGACCGCGGTAAGTGGCCTGTACTCTTAGTGTAAGCTATCTAGTCCGCATGGCAGTGAACTGAACGGAAACGATTACTATGCATCGCTCTCACATGACCGATGTTTCCCGTATGGCACCAGACATTGGCAATTAAAGCATCAAACATGAGGAGCTCAGGTCTCTAGTGAAGTCCATCGGTCGCAAGACGCTGCAAAATCGCAACATGGCTTTCAAACAGCTCGAAGAATTCCAGTGGTCGTTGTCTAGCACAACACTGCGCTTGATTCTAATTGCAGCTCTCCTCTTACTGTGGGGAACATCGCTTGCGATATACCGTCTTTTCTTCAGTCCGTTGTCGAAATTCCCTGGGCCCAAGCTTGCCGCAGTCACGGGATGGGTAGAAACATACCACGATGTCTTTCGGGGCGGTCAATTGATCTTCAAGCTCGGAGAATGGCATGAAAGATATGGTTCGTCTTCCAATCTAGTCCTTCATTAACTGGGCATACGTTGATTGATGACAGGTCCAATCGTGCGCATCAACCCTTGGGAGGTGCACATCGCAGATCCGGATTTCGTGCAGGTTCTATTCGCCAGCAACTCTCAATTCGACAAGAAAATCGAGTGGAAATACCGGACTGGTATTCCTCATTCGAGTTTCGACACTGTCGAGCATCAACAGTAAGGCAGCATGGATTCCCCCACTGAAGCAGTATTAACTGACACCTCACAGCCACCGAATGCGCCGGTCGGCGGTGGCACCATTCTTCTCCAAGCAGAAGATATCAGGCATCACTGACTTCATCAGTCAAAAGGCGCAGCGGCTGTGTGATCGGCTGGAAACCGAATTCGCGGGTTCGGGCAGACCAGCCATTATGAACAACTGTTTCACAGCCATGACATTCGACGTCATCACGCACTACGCCTTTGCGCGCTCGTTCGAGTACATGGAAGATCCGAACTTCGAAGCGCCCTTCACCAACGCGGCGAAGGAACTCGCAACGACGCTGCATACCATGGGCCACTTCCCATGGCTCTTGTCTCTGTTGCAGGCGCTCCCCCAAAGGTGGTCGGTGGCGATGAATCCAGCCATGGGCGCTATCTTTGGATTCCATGGGGTAGGTCTCGTGGGATTTTGATGGAATTGTAGGTGCTGACTCCACCTAGGAAATCGAAGACCAAATCCGCGCCATCAAGTCTGGATCCAACGACGCACACAAGGAAGTCGAACATAAAACGGTGTTTAGCGAGCTTCTCGACTCTGATCTGCCTACCGAAGAAAAGGCGGTTGAGAGACTCAAGCACGAAGGTAAGCCCGCCCACCTTCATACTCAGAACTATCCACTCACATGTTCAGGCGGGTCCATCGTTGCAGGCGGCGTCGAAACAACATCAACCGCCTTGTCCAAAGCGACCTTCTACATACTCGAGAACCCGGCTATTGCGGCAAGGCTGCGTGCAGAACTAGGCACTGTGTTTCCAGACCCGCACGTGACCCCGTCTTTAGCCACTCTGGAAGCACTGCCGTACCTCAGCGCAATCGTCAACGAGACCCTTCGCATCACGATTGGCATCTCCTCACGCACAGCACGCAGGTCTCGCAAAGAGCCTATCACGTTCAAGGACATCGTTATCCCAGCCGGTACTGACTTTAGCATGACGGCGTACTACACGCACACGGACCCGCGCATTTGGGACAAGCCGCATGAGTTCGTGCCCGAGCGCTGGCTTGAGAAGGCGTTGGCGAAGAATGGCGAGCCACTAAGTAAGTACCTAATTGCGTTCAGTAAGGGCCCAAGAATGTGCCTTGGGATCAATCTGGCGCGCGCAGAGTTGTATATTGGACTGGCTGTTGTTTTCCGTAGGCTCGAACTCGAGTTGTTTGAGACTGGGCGAGCTGCGGTGGAGATGAAAGCCGATTATTTCATTCCGTTTGCTGATCGGGCGACCAAAGGGGTGAGAGTGCTGGTAAAATGAGCGGGAGTCTAGGGAGAGCAGTCTTGATCGCTCAGAGGCACGATTCAGGTGCAGGCTCGAAACACTCGTTGTTTCTTACTGTCTATTAGCCCGAAAAGCCATGAATCCCTTTAACAGACTCTGTATTGCTTCGCCGCACTTTAGCCTTAGCCAATGCTCACAACAGCAATAACAAGCCCCGGCTATTTTTCAAGCGAAAGCCCTCGATCCTTCGCTTTGCCCTCGGCGGTGCCCGCCAGAATGCCCCCTGGGAGGTTACATATAGGCGTTAAACCAAAATCAATCAATCAATCGATCCTTCGCTGCAAGAGCTTCCTTGAATTTGTCACAGCTCAACTTACCTTTCGCACGCTTGTTCAGATCACCACCATTTCGGACTAGGACTTCTACTACCTCCATCGAGCCGAGAGAAAAGGCCATATGCACGGGAGTCCAGCCGTGAACATTCATGGCGTTGGGATTTGCACCGGCTTTGAGTAGCCTCAACATCACCTTCACATGTTTACCAAGACTGGCCCTATGCAGAGCTGTGTTGCCGTCACTGTTACGTTGTTAGTATAAACGGTAAGATGTCGAATGGCTGAATAGCTACGCAGCCAAAGCATAGTAAGAGAAATACATCTTAGTACGACCTTAATAACTGAGCGGCTAAAACGTATTAAGAGAGATACATACTAGTAAGAAGTTAGTAAGATATTCTTAAAGCTATTTGTGGCGACTACTTTACCCTGTCGGGTTCATCGACGGTGTACCCTGAGCCCAGCAGGAGGCCTACAAGGCTGTCATGACCAGCCTCAGCCGCGATATGGAGGTTCGTCTGAAAGGGCTCGTCGTCGTCGAGGTCATTGTCTTGTCCAAGACGGCCATTGACAAAGAGGTTGGGGGTGGTTATACGAGTGTTGCTTTGTGACTTGCGCCCGTGTTAGCGATTCGCCAGCTTCATGACATGTCTCCAAACTTACCGTATCATTGCTGCTTTCAGATCCACTTTGGGTGCGGCTCGGGCCGGTGTCAGGCCACGTGGTTCTATTCGTCGTGTCTTGATTGGAGTAGAAGCCCCCAGCATCGTCAGTACTGAAGACCATGGCCTCGGCTGGAGGGTCATGGGGCCATAGCACAGCGTGACGTGATTGCATCAGAGACGGTGGGAAATTGAAGTCGGTCATGTTCATGAGTGTAATCGTGGCGTCCCCTTGTAGTGTGTGGCTGTTATTGGCGGACGTCGATGGGGGCACCGGGTCTTGCTCCGACGTCTGTAGTCCAGTTGCGTGGGGGTGAGATAGCCTTCCCTCGCTGCCCCATGCCAGCACATCGTGGTTTGACTGCGGGCGCGGCTGTATAGTTGGCCCGCTCGCTGTAGCTGCAGCGGACGGTGCCGCCGCTGTCGTGAACGGCTCTCCTCCGTTTTGAGTCGCCTTCTTGCCTGCAGTGCCCGAACGGTCAGTATCAAAGGGCCGAGTAGCCGCAGAGGCCTCGATGAGGATAGAGGGCGCCTTTGACTCGGACTAGGGCCCGGCCTTGGTTCGGGCCTTCTAGCAGTCTAAACCACTTACTGCGAAAGCGCCGCTGTGCGTGTCGGTTCTGTATCTTTCGCCGTTCCACGGCATCCATGGACGGTTGCATCGTTACGGCACGGGCTGTTGGTAAGCCTCTTCGTCTGTGGTAAGCCTCTTCGTTTGTGGTTCTTCTGGCCAGCTTATGGGTAAGGCGGACAGGAGGCTTGAGCTATATAGCGAGCAAGAATGGCTAAGATCTCACGTTGATGACTGCGCACATGTGCAGGGTCTCAGGCACCTGCTGAAGACGGGGCCGAGTGCGGTGGGCTATCTCAGCCCGGCTCGGTGTTTGGTTCTCTATCTAGCGCCGAGAGCTAACGCTGTTTTGGCCTAGATCAATCACGTGATAGCCACGCGGCCAATCAACAACACAACCCACTTCGCGTCATGCCACATCTCCTGCTATCCACAAGCTTACACATACACGGTGAGAGCTTCAAAGCGATACTGGAGACTTTTCAACGCATCGCTATCCCGTATGATGTAGAGAACGCAGCCAACTACGGGGCTTTCCCATGCAGCCGACTGTGCCCAGGGAACTGTGTGTTCTCAGACCGAGTTACGCCTCAGCCCGCGAGGATCGCTTACTGGATGCTTCCGACAATATGAGCTCACTGGACCTACCGTCAAGGCTACTCGGGCGTATCATACACCCACATGCGCATAGCTGAGAACGAACCGAGGCACTACCTTCGACGGGACGGCATGCTATCTGCACTATTCAGGTGCAATCAGCCTCGGGGGTCTCAGACGAGCTATCATGGTGGTGGTGGTGGCGGCCGACGCGAGGTACCCAACGAATACACATCACCCAAACATAGCATCCGGTACCAAGAGTTCATGGGGCGTCTGCGCCTGCCAAATCAAAGCGTGGAACTCCTGAGGTTCATGCCTCCACCAACTGCCACGATCAATCCTGGCGACATCCAGGCCTTCTTTTGAATGAGCTTCACTGGTCTCGATCTTACCAGGATGCCTTTTTATCAAGCCACACGTCCTAGACAGTGGTGGCTTGCGAGAAGACGGGAGGCCATTTGGGGCGGCAAAGAGGATATAAAATGAAGATGTCCAGACCGGAGCCATACATCGTCTTCAACCACTTCGTCAATCTGTATACTTATCCAGGCGTGGGACGATCATCTATCATGTTTCTATCATCGTACCGAACGGCTGTCACGTATGCCATGTGTGCAGCCGTAGCACTGTGCGCCAGTCCGAGCTGTCGGGAACTACCTCAGGATCACACTTGGCCATCGCCTGGCCAGTGGAATGCTCTCAACAAGACAGTCAATGGAAAGCTTGTGTCGACCGTTCCGTTGGCTGCACCCTGTCATGACCCGCATTATGACGAAGCAGCATGCAACTCTCTCAAAGCCAGCTGGGCATTCCCTCCAGTGCAGTAAGAACCTCCTTGAACCATCTCTCTTGATATGATAGCAGACTCACAATAAATAGTGAGAACTCCTCGACTTCTGTGCAGAGCGCCTACTTCCAGACAGAAGCGTGCAGCCCCTTCACAGAACGCTCAAAGCCTTGCGAACTCGGAAACTACTCCCCGTGCACCATTACAGTCTCCTCGGCCAATGACATCCAGGCCGGTGTTCGATTCGCCCAGAAGCAAAACATCCGCTTGGTCATCAAAAACACGGGTCATGAGTGAGTACCACAAGCCCACAGTGTAGAACTTTACTGACAGATCTAGCTTCATGGGCAAGAACGTGGGAGCAGGATCACTTGGACTGTGGACCCACAAACTCAAGTCAGTTGAGGTTATCAGCAACTACAACAGCACGTATTACAGCGGCCCCGCTGTGAAGATGGGCGCTGGAGTCGTTGGCGAGGATGCTCTCCCCGTAGTCTCAAAGGCAGGTCTGCGCATCGTTTCCGGAAGCTGCCCAACGGTCGGCCTGGTAGGTGGTTTTGCTCAAGGCGGAGGGCACAGCTCCTTGACTAGCACCTATGGCATGGGGGCCGATCAGGCATTGGAATGGGAAGTTGTGCTCGCCAATGGGACGCTGACTACCGCCACCCCGAGCAAAAACTCAGATCTCTATTGGGCCTTGAGTGGCGGGGGACCAGGAACGTACGGCGTGGTGGTATCACTGACAGTGCGAGCGTTCAAGGACGGTGTCGTGGCTGTTGGTTCTCTCTCTTTTTCAGCGGACGCAAACGAATCCAACGACACATTATGGGCGGGTGTTGAAGCATGGCTCTCAAACATACCCGCTCTCGTCGACGGTGGCGCAACAGCCATTGGCATCTTGTCACCCACGTCATTCAGCGTTTCACCCCTCGTACTCCCCGACAGAGACGAGGCCGACGTGCGAGATCTAATTGCACCAGTCACGACGAAGCTGGACAGCTTGGGACTCGAATACTCAGTTAATGTCACCACCTTTCCCACCTTCATGGACTTCTACAACATCTACTTTATTCCGCCGGAGTGGCAGCTGATAGACCGAATCAGCGGCGGGCGCTTCGTCCCTCGGCCCGTTCTACAGAACAGCACAGCAGAATTTGCATCTGTCCTGCGCGAACTCACAGAAACCACCGACGCAATGATTGCCTTAGTTGGGGTCGGCTCTTCAACCCAAGATGCCATCGCACCCAACGCCGTGGCCCCACAGTGGCGTGAAGCCAACATGAACGTCCTCGCACAGCTACAGTGGCAATACAACCAACCCTGGAACTTCAACCTGGCTCAAATCGACGAGATCAATAACGTCATCATACCCAAACTCGAAGCTGTCACACCAGGCGCCGGTTCGTACTTGAACGAGGCCAACTTTGCGAATCCGACATGGAAAGAAGACTTTTACGGTGGGAATTACGACAAGCTGCGCAAGATCAAGAAGACGTACGATCCAGATGATCTGTTTTATGGCCCCACCATAGTCGGCAGCGATGCATGGAATGTGGCGAGCGATGGGCGCTTGTGCAGGGCGTAGGTCAGGGGGAGGGGAGGACACCGTAGCTGAGCTAGACTGCGGTCCGGGGAAGGATGGTGGCCTTGAATCTGGCGGTTGTTAGATCTTTCGGCGTTGGCCGGATTGAGTAGACTTGTTTTCTCTTGAGATAGCTATCCTAGAACTTTCGTTAATTACATTGTTGTTGTCTCCATTTGCTGTGTGTCATGGGTCAGCTTACTACTGATGTTCTTCTGGCCCTGAATTTGATCATCTTCCGCAATAGCAGGCGGCTTCGTCAAGACCGCACGCGCGCGTTTCCATTTCCGCGTCGATTTGTAAACACACAGCTTGGCAACAGGTACCGGTGAGCATTGGGGGCTGCAGACGAAGGTATGCGCGGCTGAACGCCCAGCGAGGTCGATATAAGGCAATCAGCAAAGGCAACCAGTGTGGCGTTTCTAGCGTTCCAGGCCAGCGGAACTCGTCGAAAGTTGCTCACCCGAAACGTGGAGAGCGGGCCGTCGATTATGTTGCACTAATCATGCAAGGTCAGCATCCCATGGAATTGCGGCGTCGTCCGTGCATCAAGTCCACATTTGCAACACAATATGTCTTTGTCTTTGTATGTGCTGACATCTCAGCCGCAATTGCTCGCGCTTGCGATTGACCGAGCTGACAAAGATGGAAGCTGTGTCACACGTGCGCGCTCCTTCGAGTTCGGCTTATCAATTCAGCCAAACATGATCGTAGGTCTACGGTTAAGTAGGGAACGGTGCTAACCACAAGCAAGCCGTACATGTCACCCTTCTCTGCATTGTTCTCCTGCTTCAAGTCCGTCGGCTCAAACACAGATCAATCTACCAGCAAAAAAACTTCAAACTCGTCAACTCCCAGCGACAAGTTCTCCACTATGGCAGGAACAACTTACCTCATCACTGGCGCTGCTAGAGGTACTTCTCACCTACTCTATCAACCAATGTTTAATTAACCATTCTCCAGGTCTCGGAAAGGCAATGGTCGAGACCTACCTGGCGCGCCCAAACAACACCATCATTGCCGTAGCACGCACCACCAGCTCCGCGGAGCCACTCAAGTCCCTCCCTGCCGGCAAAGACAGCAAGCTCATCGTCATCGCCTACGACAGCCGCGACACCGAAGGCCCGAAGAAAGCCATCGAGGAACTCAAGAGCCAAGGCATCACCACCATCGACACCGTCATTGCCAACGCCGGCATCTCTTCGGACTACGCTCCCGTTGCCTCCGTCTCACTCGACGTCCTCAAGTCACACGTCGAGGTAAACGCCTACGGACCCCTTCTTCTCTTCCAAGCTGTGCTGCCCCTGCTCCTCAAATCATCCAACCCCAAGTTCGCTGCGCTCGGAACTCCCATCGCTAGCATCACCGGTATGGAGAGCCGTCCGTTCCCCATGGCTGCGTATGGAATGTCCAAAGTCATGTTGCACTGGATGGTTTGCAAGGCGCACTTTGACCACCCGGAGCTTACCGCGTTTGTGCTTGATCCTGGATTCGTGCAGACTGACATGGGTAACGAGGGAGCGAAGACTTTTGGTATGGAGAAGGCGTTCATTACTGTGGAGGACAGTGCCAACTTTTTGGTGTCGACGGTAAGTTTTTCGCGAGGCTGCTGTGCAGAGTTGATGCTAACGTTGCGTAGATTGACAAGGCCACGAGGGAGGAGACCTCAGGACACTTTCCCACGATCGAGGGCGGGGACTTCAAGTGGTGATCTGGGTCGCTGTTCACTCGAGATGGGGACTTTTCTAGTCAGCCAACAGGAATGGAGGTCCAGTATGACGTGTTTATGTAGGCGTACGCTTAGCACTGGTGCACTGGTCGCGCAATGCCGCTTGCACGAGATGATCTAGCCATGCCAATTTAAGCATTCCCATGATCCCTTCTCGCACCCTGATTTTATGTCCATTTCTCTGAGGTGGTAAACTGGAGTATGTGAACGATACTCCGGATGCGCTTTAAGTGATGTGTGGTTTTCGTGCGTCGTAGAAAGACTGTATCGAAAGTGCTGTAGGCTAGCGTCTAGCGCACATAGCCTCGTGGCTGCCCGCTGGACTCGCCCTCGCTACTCATCCAGATAAAAACGATCTTGTAAGCGACGAACGTCGGGCTGACGTCTAAGAGTCTGCGAGAACGAAAGTTTCCACAAGCTTTGCGATATCTAGGAGGGATTCAGTAGATTCTACGCTGATAGCCTAAGGTGATGCTGAACAATGTAAGCCTCAACGTATGTGTTGGTATGAATTGTCGGTACTATAAATAACTCGTCGCGCTCTATTGGCTCACTGCAGTACCACTGGATACACCGAACAGCAACCAAGGTGCGGTATAACGTGTGGCTGTGACTCAAAAAGGGGAAAATTATACATGAAAAATGTGAAGGCGCGACCTGCAGCAGAAGAACAACCTCTCTCTCACACTCAACCCTTACAAACACTATGGAATACCCCGAAGATCTAGATCTAGAAGGCATGAACGCGCTAGACGAACTGACCGGCAATGCTGGACCATATGATCATACTGCCGCACCCAAGCTGTCCTCCGAGCTAGAAGATCTCATCCGAGCCACCAAGTGCCAGACTCCCGCGCATGGAACCCCCAAGCGCAAATTGAGCAAGATGGACTACCTCTTCAAGATCACCGCACCCATCACCCCGACGATCCTCGCATCCGCCGCTATCCTCCCCACCCAACCCCAAATCCACCAAGGCCAAGGCGAAGATGGCGCTGCGACATTCTGTCAAGTCCGCGACATCGACATCCCAACGATCAAGAAATGGCTTGCGGAGGCATACCCCACGATCTCACCAACTTTCATCCCCATCAACATCGCACGAAAAGCCCTCTCTCCATTCTCTGCATACCCAACCCTTGGCTACGACACCACACTACCTCACCGTCGCCCCCAAAACATCACCGGCTCTGAATGCCTGCCGGCACAAAACCAATATCCCGTGTGGTACTTCTTCTACGGCACCCTAGCCAACAGCTCCCACCTCGCCCATCTATTCAACTCGCCATCAGACCAACAACACACGCTCTTACCAGCCATGATTCACTCAGGAAAGATCAGAACGTGGGGCGGCAAGTATAAAGCTTTGGTCGACAACCCTGGCACGTGTGTTGAGGGATGCGCGTACGAGGTTGTATCGCAGGAACAAGAAGATGCGCTGAGGGTGTATGAGACGGCGAAGTATGAGGTTGTGAGGGTGGAGATTATGTGTCGAATGGATTTTCGAGCTAGGTTTGTGAAGGGGTTGACGTTTCGGTTTGCGGGGGAGGAGGGGGAGTTGGATGAGGATGAGGGGGAATCGGAGTCGGACGAGGATGAAGTTGAAGTGGCATCAGCGGATTAGTTCTTGTCGTAGGATGATGTTCTGAAGGCGCAGCGGTAGTGATGTAGTGACACATTAAACATTCGTAATTGGAAATACATACATGAGCAAAGTGGCAAAGGTATAACTCGCCGAAAAGGAAACTGCTTCTATATCCTGAGAATGCCAGCCCAAAGATACTCCATGCGCCACGCTGTAAATGCAAAGAGAAAATGGCCACCCGAGGCTTGATCACAGCTCGAAGTTGTCCAGCCAGTGCTTGATGACCACCTTACCCTCATTGAAAGAAGGCTTGTTCATGCGTACAACGATAGCCGCATGCGAGTGTCGGTGGTTGTGAATGTAGACCGGGTATTTCGTGAAGCCAACGTTGTCCAGCGCTTCGATCATTCCGAATTGCTCTTGCGTGAGAGCTAGAGTGGGGAAGGTGGGTGTCGCGGCCTCCTTTTGCTCTTGTATTGAGTCGACGTCGGATCTGGACTCGTCCTTGCGTGGAGAAGCAGACTCTACGTGTTCGTAGCTCTCGCTCAAATATTCCTGGCTCTGGACGTGGTTTGCGTTTTCGTACATGCCCTCGGCCTCGCGTCGTACGGCATTGATCATGAGCGGTATGCGATAGCGCGCGTAGTCGATGCCCGACCTACCCTCCTCGTGTAGTCTTATCCGTTGCTGGCTGCGGATCGATTGGAATGCCGAGTTGATGAGGAAAGCCGAAACGCCGATCGGTACGAGGACGGTCAAGGCTGCGACAATGCCCGTCCTTCCCAGTATTGTCCATGTACCCTGTACCAGCCGTTGCGACAACGCTGGTGGTTCCTCTGGCTCCTTGTGCGAGACTGGGTGTTGCCCATCGACAATGACGTCTTCGTAGTCTGGGATATAGTTTATCTTGATGTCGTCCGGGTCAACAAAAGGGTCGGTTTGCGAGATACCGGCGGTGTAGTAAGTGACTGTTCGATCGTTCACGACGTTCGCGTATAGACTTCGATGCTTGAATTGGGCAAGGCCTCGAATGAAGATGCTTTCGGGGTCCGCAAGTACGGCTAGGAGGGACCTGTCCGTATCTCTGAAATTGTCAACGCCAAACAGCTGTCTCCCGCTCATGGAGAGTGTTCGCGCTCCCAGGACGTTCCAGATGTGGCTGTGGTAGCCTTTGAGGGGTGTTCGTACGCCGAGGTGTGGTGTCGCAAACGTTGTGAAATTCTGGTAGTGTTAGTACATTGGGCTGGAGGGTCGTCGGGGGTTGCATAGACATACGACTGGTTGTATCTTCTCAAAGATGCATCTGCGGAACAGCAGGCCGATCGCATAGCGTGCTATTAAGCCTCCTAGCGAGTATCCAACAACACTGATCTTTGTTATGTCATGCCCAGCCTCAGCGAGCTCCTCCAACTTCCTCTCCACCTCTTCTGCCACGCGCTCGCCACCGGTATCGATGCCATCGTATGTGAAGCTGCCAGCGTTGCGCTTGGCCACGAGGATGTGCAGTTTGTCCTCTGGATATCGTTCGCCTAGAGTAGTGCTGACGTATTTGAGGTGCTCAGGCTTGCCCCAGAGGCTGGTTGTGGTCAGCGACAGTGTTCCTTCTTGTCATGATAAGAGGCGATAAGACGTGCGACGGAGACAGGACGTACCCATGAACGAGGACACAGAGGTGGTCGGCTTTCTTGGAGGTGTTCATGGAGGTAGACATGGCGAGAGGTATCAAAGTTGGCTGGCCTGGGTATTACGGTGCAAGGCGCAGTATTTGTATATCGCTCGGGCGTCCACAAGTCGTCCGAAAGGCGCAGTATGACCCGAGACGCGCGCGGTCCGAAAAGCAATTCCTATGCGACGAGGACACTTGTGATGTCGCGGAAAGTGGCAAGATGAACAGGATTCAGTGTGTAGATGCGCAGGTTCACTCAAGCAAGATTGCGCATACATTCATGGGTATTAACGCTGGCTGGAGGGTGAAAGGGAGGCGGCCTTGAGATGCGCACAGGTTGCATCACCGCGTCATGACGGAATTAAGGCGGATCGCCGTCGCAAGTTCGCCCGCCCGCGTCCGTGGACCCTGCGTCTAGCGCTAAACATCTACAGGGCTGAGACGCGCATCTCACCTCATCCCTCACCTTCACCGTCTAGCCCGCTCTAACTCTTTCGGGACAGCTGGGGCTCATACTGGAGCTGCTAATAATTCTGGGTGTAGCGCATCTCTACAACACTGCTCTTCGTGAAGCTACAAGAAGACTCTTAACGCGCAGGCTGTCGTATCAGCCGCCTTTGCATCTACATCAATCTTTTCCTGCGCAATGAGATGTTGAAAGCTTGACCATCAATCCTTCATACCGTTGCAAAATCGTGCAATCAAGCGTGTGGCTGGTGTCAGACCCAAGGCCAGTTCTCATACACCGCATCCATTGGCCGTATAGCTCTTCGTCAGCTCTAGCCTGGCACCTCATACGAAAAAAACTAAACAGGTCTGCAGACTACGATAATACAGAAACTCACAAAGTAGGTGAGCTAACGTCAACGTAGGCTCTAAGCGTGCTGGTAGGTCCCAGGCGCATACAGCTTGGCATTGGATCTACTCACAGGAAAGAATCGTCGCAAACGCTGCAAGCATGTGGCCTTCAGTACCAGCTTACAGGAGCTTTGCCAACATAGCATGTCCTTCGGGTGCAAAGTGTGAGCTGCCTCACTGCATCTTCGGTCACGATTCTACAAAACCCACTACAACACGACGATCTCCATCGCCAGCTGCAGCAACATATGATTCGGAGCCGATCGCGAAAAGACTGAAGCTTGACCACGACAAGAAAGCACCCACTATCACCAAGCCTGCTCCAGCCCAGAACACGCCCGATGTCTCGGTCAGCACGGACATACCCAAGAATAAGACACCAACAACAAACAACGTGCCTGCGGCTGCTAAACCTGCCCCTTCTAAAGCATCTGTCGCAAATGCCCCTACATCTACTCTCCCTAAGTCTGCCACGCGGTCAGTATCACCACCTCCGGCTGCAACTGCGCCCAAAGCTGCCGTCAAACCCGATGCTCCTGTAGCTTTGATGCCACGCAAACTCAACAAAGAACCAGCCACCTTCACCAAACGCGTTGCTCTGCTTAAGGCGTTACATTCCTACATGAAGCCGCAGAACGATAAGCTTCTCAAAGCAGTCAAGCCTGAGATCAAAGCGCTGCATCTATCCGCGAACCAGCTCAACAAGCTAGCAGTTGACGAAGAAGAAAGGATAGCTACATCAAACCCCTCGGTATACGAGAACATACTCAAGCAGCGATTGGTCAAGTTAAAAGGCATGTCGGCAGAGGAATGGGTAAAGGAGCGGCGCGATGCAGTAGCCAAGGAGAGTGGAGAGCCACCAAAGAAAGCACCGCCTAAGAGGATAGACACGGGCCTTACAGCGAAAGAAGAGATGACGTTTCTCCCCAGGCTTGTGTGCCCACAGGATGGATTAGACCAGCACGGCTATGTGACCAAAGTACCTGCTGAGGCCGATCTCAACGAGACGAAGTTGGCGCTCGAAGCGGCTGGCGGCTGGGAACAGTGTGACCGTTGTAGCACTCGCTTTCAGGTCTTCTCAGAGCGACGAGAAGAAGATGGAGCGCTCACAACAGGAGGGCAGTGCAAGTATCACTGGGGCAGGCGCGTCTTTCCTAGGAAAACAAGAGGCGTCGCCCCAGAACCTACAAAGTTCAGTTGCTGCAACGGGGAGGTAGGGTCACCGGGCTGCACTACGCATCTTTCCCATGTGTACAACATCAAAGACCCAAATCGATTATCACTCATCATGCCGTTTGTCGAAACGCCGGAGAACGACAAAGTACCGAAGGACACCGCTGTCTGCTTCGACTGCGAGATGGGCTATACCACCAACGGCCTTGAGATGCTTCGTCTCACAGTCATCACATGGCCACAACACAAACCTCTCGTCGACGTACTGGTCCGCCCACTTGGACACGTCTTGGACTTCAACACCCGTTTCTCTGGCATCACCGCAGACCAATTCTTGAACGCGAAGCCATATGATCCAGACAATCCAAAACCCGTCCGTAAAGACCTACGTATCGTCGACTCTCCCCACGCAGCAAGAGACCTCTTTCTCTCACATGTCTCTCCCACCACCCCAGTCCTCGGCCATGCGCTCGAAAACGATCTCAATACCATACGCCTCGTCCACCCCACCATCATCGACACCGTACTCCTATATCCGAACCCAAGTGGTCTCCCCTTCCGTTTCGGCCTGCGAAAACTGGCGTCCGACCACCTCGGCGAGCAGATACAGCAAGGAGGCGCTGCCGGCCACGACAGCTACGAAGATGCACGCACCACGGGCGAACTAGTCCGATGCAAGATCAAGGAGAGGTGGAAACTTTTGAAGATTGATGGCTGGCAGATTCGAGATGACGGTGTGTACCCGCCTATGCCGTCTGAGAAGCCGCCGGAGAATGTGCCAGTGGCGCCATCCATGGTACCAGAGGCGAAGATGGCGGTTCTGGAAGGAAATCCTGCGCAGAAGAGGAAGGCGGAGGATGAGAAGGGTGACGAAGAGCTGGAGGCGAAGGAGCAGGGATGAAAATGTGGTGGTAGTGCGGTTACTGGGGTGCGAAACGAGAAACAAGGATGAGCGGCATGGCGATATGATTGGATATGTTTATATGCATGGTATTGCAGCATAGCAGTTCATGCAAGGAAAAGATCCGAATACCAAGGAGCCTATGTCAAGATAAAACCATGCAAAGTAGGTGACCGAACGTTAATGTAGGCTCTAGACCTGTTTAGCTTTTTCATTGTATGAGGTGATAGCGCACAGGTGTTTGGATGTAGTGAGAAACCCCCGCATTAGCCCGCGGTGGGGCAGGAAGTATGATTTCAATATGAAAATGCGAGATGACCTCCTCATCCTCTACCTATCCCAGAGACCATCTCATGAATCACAGAGCTTCAGCCCCTCTCCATCCGCGACCTGTCTAACTCCTGGTAGATCTCTTGGTCTCTCCTTCGTGCGCGTGGTGTG